CGTACGAGTCGCGAGAAGGGAAACTGCGTTTGGACGTGTACTCGAGCTTTTCACTTTACGGATGGGATCAGCGAGACGAACCGTTTGAACCACTGTTCGACGTCTGTCGACAGCATCCCGGGTGCGAGTATCACGGCGCCGTATCGAACGCAGAGGTGCGAGAAGCTCTCACGAAGGCGCACATATTCGCGTATCCGTCAATCTGGCAAGAGACGTCGTGCATTGCCGCCATTGAGGCGCTGAGCGCGGGCGTGCACGTCGTCACCTCGAGTCTCGCTGCGCTTCCAGAGACGCTCGGTACTTTCGCCACGATGTACCAATACGCCGAAGACACAGAGGAACATCTCGCTGCTTTTGAGCGAGCGCTGGGCGAGGCGATCGACAGTTACTGGTCGCAAGAGAAGTTCTCGATGCGGCGCGTGCAACAGGTGTACGCGTCTCAAGTTTTTGGTTGGGGCACTGCTGGATTCTCCGGGCGCGCGGACGATTGGGTCAGAGTCCTCGGCTCAGCGCACGAGCTGTTCAACGGCGAGAGAACGCTCGAACGACAGGATTTCAATTCGGACTCTGAGTTTGCCGACGCGCTATTCGTCGCAGGTCGAGTGAAAGAACATCGTGGAGACGTCCAAGGAGCGATGACGAAGTATCGTCTGGCTCTCGAGTTTAACGCACTCAACTCTTACGCACTCGTTAGCCTGGGTGTCTTGGAAATGACGGCAGGTGATCATTCGGGCGATCGTGAGATGGCAAACAGCGGGGTCAACCGTCTCGAGTTCGTCATTGATAACGCCGAGCGTCTGAGTCCGCCTCTCAAGCCAGACTCTGCGGCGTATTACGGAGCCGCCGTGCGCAGCGGGTATTATCGAGAAATCCATAATCAGCACGCGCGTGCTATCAAGAGTTTCGATATGGGACTGAACACGTCACAAGCTGGAGATAGCGACTGCTGGGAGGTGTATCGCGCCACCATGGTGCCACACTTCCCGCTGAGTCCAGAGGAAGAGAGGGGCACGATTCGAGAGTTCAACGCTCGGATCGACGCGCTCCTGGCTCGCGGCGATCTCTTCTGTCAGCGCGAAAACGCACTAGCCAACGCATTCTCAATCGCGTATTACTACACGGAGTGCGATTACAAGGAAGAATATTCCAAATGGGTTCGATTGAAGGCAACGGTGTACCCGAAATTGCAGTACTTTTCTCCGCAGCTCGCGTACGAGCGCGACGACAGCTACTTGACGAGCCGGGACAGCAAAACAAGTTTGAAACGTCTCAAAAGCCGCAAGATCAAATTAGGGGTCGTATCTTCCTTCTTCATGTCCGAGTCAAGCATCTGGGGGAACTTCGGATACATCGTCCGCGGCCTGCAACAGGACAAGCGCTTTGAGGTTGACTTTGTTTTCTTCCCGCGAAACCTGAGCCCGATCGCAGAGGAGGACAAGCTATTGTCTCTGCGTCCTGAGTCTAACATTTACCTTGATGCACATCAAAGTGATCAATCGGTGTTGGATGCGAACCGAAAGAAGATTGAGGCGCGGAAGTTTGATGTTCTGCTCTATCTTGACCTGCACATGACGGGTGAGATGCACGATTACGCCATGGCAAAGCTCGCGCCAGTGCAGATCACCACTCACGGACATCCGGTGACATCGGGCATTCCTGAGCTCATCATGGATTACTTCCTATCGTGGGATCTCGCCGAACTTCCAGACAAGGTGCGGGCGCAGACTTTTTACACCGAGAAGTTGCTGTTGATAAAGAGTAACAAGCAAGCGTGGGAGTACTTCGTGCCGAGGACGAAGGATGAAGTTTCCTTAATCAAGGGTCACGCTCCGTTCTCGCAGTTCACTCGAGAAAACATCGACTTCATCCCAGATGAAGGAATGAGAAAGCTCTCAGTCGAAGGTGCGACGTGGTACTTCTGCCCGCAAGCAGCGTTCAAGTATCACGTCACGTTTGATAGGATACTGGGCGAAATACAAAAGCGCGATTCGAGCGCCGTCATCATCCTGATGCAGCTCACGTCTGACAACTTGGAAGATTTACATGCCAAGGTCATCGAAAGACTTTCGACGCACGGCGGAGTCGATCTCGACCGCGTTGTGTTCATTCCACGTATGAAACACTACCAGCTGATGGCAATGTATAAGTTCTCTGACGTCGTCCTTGACAGTGTGTATTTCGGTGGTGACACAACGACGCGTGAGGCCTTTGAGGTCGGATCGCCGGTCGTGACGCTTCCCGGTAAGACGATCGGACAACGATGGACGCAAGCATATTACAAGGTTATGGGCATCAGCGATTACATCGTCGACACGGCGGATGAATATGTCTCCGTGGCGACGAAGTTCGCGAACGCCGACAGTGAAACGAAGCGCCGAGCTCGTGAACGCATCAAGACCGCGTACCACAAAAAGCTCGTCGCCAACCCCAAGGCACCGAAACTATGGGGCGACGCGATATTTCGCGCCGCCACCGCGCCGACGCGATGGCATTGGCGTGATCAGGTAGAAACGAGCGCAGAACACGATGAATTTTAGCCACGTCGTACGTAGATCTTGACGCTGTGTCGTTTATTACATAAATATCACGCCTTCTTCGGCTTCGACCCACCGGCCAGCTTTTTCGACGTACGGACGATCATCATTATGATCTTCCACGCCCACATGAGCGAGACGATCAAGATTCCCAACGCGCCAGCCTTCACCAAATACGTATTATCCTTGTTGACCACCGTCTTGTACACCAACGGAGGACCGACGACGAGGCGGCAAAACAGGAACAATAACGCGAAAATCAAATCGTTCACGCTCGCCAGGACGCTATCCTTCATGTCTAGTTCCCGTAACAGACTTCTCAGGTGCAAGCTCGGATTGCTCACCTCCATGAGGAACAGGCATCCCACGAGCTCCGGACCGCTTCGTCCCGTGACCACGCCGCTCGCCAAACCGCCGACGGTGAACATGTGATGAATCACGTTCTCGATCTCGTTATTCAGCACACAATATATTAAGTCGTACACGAAGTACCCAAGTGACATCGTGATACAATCCAAGTGCGCCGACGTGTTCTTCCCACCGACGTTCTCCAACAGAGCGCCCCATGTTGGGAGACACGCGACGCAGTACTTCATCGCCACGAGCGCGTGAATCAGACTCACCAAGCGATTGTTAAAATCCGCCGTTCGCTTCCGGAGTAGGACGAATCGGAATAGGACGTATAGCGCGGTCCACGCGAGGGTGAGCGGGACGATCTTGCGCATCGTCGGGACGCCGGTGCGGATGAGATAGTCGAGGTCGAGCGTGTTTAAAACCGAGCTCGAGGTTTGCCTCGGCATGGCGACGACCGTTCGATGATGACGCGAACGCGTTCAAACGCTCGAGAGGTCGTGCGTTCGCCCGTGGATCCTTCGGCGTCGATGGCGACGAGCGCGCGCGCGACGAAGAATGAGGCGAGGACTAAAACCAAAAGTTTAGGCTAATTGATGCGGTGACCGCGCGGACGTGGTGCCACGTCTTCGCGGGGACGTACACGAAGTCACCGGGAGCGAGGAGGACGTCGAACGGGGTGGCGTTGGCAAATTCTGGGAAGCGATCGAGGTCGGGGTTTTCCACATCGACAGCGCTGAAGTTACCTTGGGCGTGACGTCCCGATCCCGACCCGGATGAGCAGCGGTACATGTACGGAGTGTCCGACTCGAGATACAGTCGGACGAGTTTGTACCCGGCCACCTGCGATGAGAAAGAGGGTGCGCGGTGAGTGACGATGCGAGTACATCCTCGTGTATGTGGAACGATGTGTAGACCGACGGTCATGGCTCAGAATCGTCGGTTCTATTGTCGCTCGGTTTTGTTGTTGGGAGGTAGTATCACCGACGCCTCGACATCTCTCGCGGGCCGGCTTCACGATTAGCTCCCGTGTGATGCAAAATGTAAGACGCGTCGACGAGCGCACCTGGCCTAATAGATTATCATACGTGTCGAAGTGACACGGCGTTACCGTCCCCGCGGTTCCCATCCATACGTTGATTCGTTCGAGCGACTTGGCGCAAAATTCGGGCACGGTAAAGTCGCTCGAGAGCGACTGCAAATGATCGACGAGACGATGTTGCGCCAGGTACGCCACCGCGTTCGATCTACCAGAGACTGACGGTTGTAAATCTTCCATGACGAACTCATGCATGGTTTTAACGGTCTCGCGCCAGTTGCCCTCGTCGTCGTACGCGCCAAGCTCGAGCGGCACGCTTCGATGACCGTGAAACGCGCTCCACCATCTCAGGTCGTCCCACTTCCGCATCGCCGGCCAATCCGCCCCTAACCCGACGAGCCCGACGGGTCTATCGACTTTGAAGTATTCGCGCCTGAACTCCTTCGCCGTCAACCCCTTGGCGTCGACGCGCTCGAGCCAACGCCTCTCGCCCATCGCCGGCGGCTCTGGCGACTCGCGCGGAAACGTCCACCCGCACTCCACGCGTCGCTCGTACGCCCCCCTGATCGCACTTATTCCAAGCTTCAACTCACACGCATTCACGAACGCGCTCAAAGCGTCCGCGGGCGCCCCTAAGATGACACACATATCCAACGCGCGCGTCGCCGCTCGCCCATCCTCGGCGTTCCCTCGACCTCGCAACCGCTCCACGCACGTCCGGAGCTGCGCCAAGACGTAGCACTCACGATGCGCAGTAGACGTCCACGACCCCTCAGAGCGTAACAGTTCGGCGTACAGACGCTCCACGATCGCTTCCGCGCGCGCAAAGTCCTTTTCGAGCACGGCGCTCGTTACGTCGCTCGCGAGCGCATTCTCACCGCTCTCCCGAAGCTCTCGCGCCACCTCGAGGCCAAAAGCGGGGAAGAAGTGATTCACGAGCACGTCATCCGCCGCATCGATCGCCGCATCGAGGGACATCGACGCGCGTCGACGTGAGGTTCACAATTTCATGTTTTGCACTTTTTTGTGTCTACGCGCGCGCGTCCCAGAGCGTACCGAGCGGTTCACCCGATTTCGCGCGTTCGATCGCCCCGAGCGCGATCTCCAACACCTCGCGCTCGATCACCTCCTCGTCGCGATTCGCGTCGATCACGTCCCACCACGGCTCGCGCATGGACTCGAACATCTCCTTCACCGCGCGCTGCATCTCCGTCGTCTCGTATCGCTCCTCGCCGAATCCGCCCCTTCGCGCGGCGTCCTCGAGCGACAACTCCAGATACATCAGCGCGTCCGGTCTCGGCAACCCAACCTCCGGCGCCTTACACCACGTCAAATCCAATCCCTCCACCCCTTTCGCCGCCGTGAACGCGCACCCGCTGTACGAGTACCTATCGCACACCAACGTCACCCCATCCGCGAGCTTGCGTTCCATCAACGCCTTCTTCTCCCATCGATTCGCCGCGAACAAGAGATGTATCGCCGCGTCCGCGGTATCACTCTCCGATCGCAGGTACGCGTCGATCATCTCTCCCGTCTTCGTCGTTCGATCGGGGTATCGCCACAGCTCGGCTCGAACACCGCGCTGTTCGAGCGTCTTCACCAATCGCCGCGCCTGCGTGCTCTTCCCGCACCGATCGGCGCCTTCGAACAGGACGAGCGCCCCGCGCGAGGCGCTCATTCGCACGGCGTCGACGCGCGCGCGACGCCGACGACGCGTCGACGCGCGCGAGAGACACCGACGATGGGTCGACGCGCGGATGACGACGAGTGCATTCAAAAAAAAACCACACAAAAACCGACACCCGCGCGCGTGGACGCCCCCGTCGCGCCCGGGCGACGCACATTCCCGAACGGTGGCTCCACTACGCACGCGCGCGATCCCGTGGACGGATCGTGCCCACGACGGGTCCTGACTCGACACGCCACGGACTACTTTTTTTATCCCCCGCCCGCCCGCCCCTCGTTAGGGCTTTCGCTCGCCCTCGATCGCCCACGGGCGTCGCCCCGCACACGCGCGCGCACCGAAGAGATGTTCACGCTCAGCGCCGCCCGCGTCGCCCCGCGCGCGGTGGTGTCCGCGAAGACGCGCGCCGCGAAGCGCTCGGTCGTCGCCATGTCGTCCAAGGTGCGTCCGCGCGCGAGGTCCCGTGTTCGGGGGGGATCGCGATCTCGATGGATGGGCGCGGACCCGCGTGGGTGATCGCGGGCGTTATCCGCGCGAACGACGACGCGTGCGGGGGTGTTTCGACGCGGGGCGGGTGGATTAGGGTCGGTGGTTTTTTTGTCGGGGCGCGCGCGGCGCGAACGGGGATCGGGGGGCGTCGCGACGCGCGCGCGTGGGGGGTGGACGCGCGAGGGCGAGATCGTTGGGACGCTATCCGACCCTGGGTGGGGGGGAGGTTTGAGACGGCGCGAACGGCGCGCGCGCGCGGTGCATCGTGCGAGCGGGCGACCGGGACGGGGTGCGAGGACGAGGAGACTGACGAGGAAGGATTTTGATTCGCTCGACGTAGGGTAACCCGGTGTCCACCGGCTACGCCGCCGCGTTGGTCGACGCGTGCAAGAGCTCGGGCGCGCTCGAGCAAGTGCACGCCGACATGGAAACGCTCGACGCGTACGTGAAGGCGAACGCCTCCGTGCAAGGTTTCTTGTCCAACCCGACGATTGTCCCGGAGAAGAAGAAGGAAATTTTGAAGAAGATCGGCAAGGAGGCTGGCTTCCACAACTTTACCTCCAACTTCTTGAACCTGTTGGTGGACAAGCGCCGCGAGAACCAAATCGAGTCCATCATCGCCGAGTTCGAACTCTTGTTCTGCGACGCCACGGACACGCAAGTCGCCACGGTGACCTCCGCTGTGAAGCTCGAAAACGAGCAACAATTCATGATTGCGAAGAAGTTGCAAGAGATGACGGGCGCGAAGAACATCAAGCTCAAGCCTGAAGTCGACGAGTCCCTCCTCGGTGGTTTCGTCGTGCAGTACGGCAAGGATGGCTCTGGCTTCATCGACATGTCCGTCAAGGGCCAAGTCGACAAGCTCGCCCAAGTCTTCATGGCTTAATTTCGAGTCGCTGCCGATGCCTACAGCTTCACCGCCGCTTAGTTTTCGCAAACAGACGCGCGCTCAGGTGTGCGCGCTGTGTTGTTTGGAACCCTCTAGGATAAGACGGACTAAACGTCCGACATTCAATTCGAGTTCAGTTGTGATATTCAAACTATTCTGAGTCTCTCAACCCGTTCCCTCTCGCTATGTCTATGCTACTCGCTAAAAAAACGGCTCCTTGCAGACTTGTAAAACTTGGCGCCGACGTACGCCACCGTCTTCGTCGGTGAAGTGCCAAGAAGCCCTGCGACGGCTTGCCTCAAGCTGCTCGTTCGAACAATCTGCCGTAGGCACGCACGTGTGGTCGATCCCACGCGCTCTTGATCGTCACTGAGCGCCGCGCACATCTCCGCGGCCCATCGCTTTGACGATTCGACGCCTTCTCCAACTCTCACGCGTGTCGCGGCGCTCATCATCGCCCTCACGGTGACTGGAAGCGCCTCCAGGCGCGCACGTAGCGCACTTGGGCTCTTATCTTGCCACCACGTCGACGAGCTCGCGTCCAGTGCGTCGCCGAGCTCCGTCACCGTGTCCGCATACATGTCTCGCATCGCGTCTCCGTTCGCGCTCGCGATGCGCTCCACCTTTTTATCATCTTCCGCCGCGAATAAAAATCGAACGTCTCCGTCATAGGACAAACGCACGAGCGCTCGATGGAAATCGAGTTCGCTGAACGACTCCGGAAGCGTTAACAACGCCGCGTTCGCGGCGTTTCGCACATTCACCCGCTGCGCGTCTCGCACCGCCGCGCTCGTCAACATCGTCTCGTGCGGCTTCTGCATTCGTCCCGCCACGAACAAGTATTCCCACCGCTCTAAATCCCGCACCACGTCTTCGACGCTCGCGACGCCGTACTTGAACGGCTCACCGCGCGCGTCGAAGAGCCGCGCGTTGTAGTGCGTCCCGCACCCGACAACGCGAGACACTTTTACGATTCCCTGCGAACCTATCACGCGCATCTGCGACGCGTAGTGCGAGGGATTACGATGAACGTTCGTTGCGTGCCACTCTTGGACGTTCTCCACGACGCACAGGATGTCTAGCGCCGATTTTGTGTTCGTCACCGAGGCTGCTCTGAGAACGGCCGAGCCATAGGCGAGGACGTGCTCGCACTCGGGCGCGTTCGACAGCGCGTCGACGACGCGACGGGCGAGCGTTCGAGTGGACATATCACTAAGAGCGCGATCACGGCGATCGCGACATCGTGCGCGCGTTCGAGGGCGCCGCGAAGTGTGGCGTCGCGACCGCGCGCGAGACGCCGACAGTCGCGTCGAGACCGACGCATCGCTACAAACGTTCTATTTCTTCCTAGGCGTGGACGGGAGTCCAAGAGCCGCGGCGTCGATCTCGTTCTCGCGACTCGCCCGCTCCCGACGCTCGCGCGCATCCGTCGCCGCGTCGCCGCGCTCGCCCGCGCCCGTCCGCGCCGTCGCCTCTCTCGCTATCCTCAAACTCCCCACCGTCGACGCCACGCGCTCGAGCACCCACTCCCCGACCTCGTCGTCGTACACCAACGCGCAATCGTACTCCACGTCGTCGTCGTCTTCCACTAACTCACCATCCTCTCGCGCGTCTCGTCTCCGCGCCCGTCCTCCGACCTCCCGCTCCACCCGCATCCCTCTGTATTTCACCTCTCGCCCCGACGCACCGCCGCCGTCGTCCACGGCATCGTACGTGATCTCCACCGCGCCGTCGTCGCTCGCGAACACGCGCGCGCGCTTCGATTCATCCGCGTTTCGAGCGCAAAAATCAAATCGCAGCGCGCTCAGCGGTCTCGCGCTCGCATCCGCATCCGTCGCGCTCGCCCCGTCCCCGCGCGCGAGCGCTCGGACGCTTCGACCGATGCGCACGCGCGCGCGCGTCGGCCCGACGTCCGCGTCGTCCGTCATGTCCCGCGCGCGCGTCGACGGGTGCCGCCGCAGAGTTCGGTGCGCGGTTTCGCACATCCATGGACGACGACGACGACGAGACGAGCGACGACGCGTGGGACGACGACGCGAGCGATGGGACGGATGTGACCGAGGGCTGGGGAGCGCGCGACGCGGGCGCGGACGCGGTGGGCGAGCGTGGGAGGGATGAAGAGACGACGGTGCCGGAACGATGCGATCGAGACGTGGCGTCGACCTCGGCGCTGACGACGCGCGCGAGGAACGGCGAGGGCGATGGGCCGAGAGAGATGACGTTTGGAAGCGTGTTCACGCACGCCAAGGCTGGGATGGAGACGGTGGATCGAGCGAAGGTGCGACGGGTGATTTACGGCGCCGTGGCGGGCACGGCGCATCATCAAAACGAATTGAGAAAGGAGGCGAAGACGACGAAGCGGATAGAGACGATGCGGGCGCGGGCGAAGATGATGACGGCGATGGAGTGGGAGAGCGCGGGGAAAACGAGCGATGAACGCGTGCGGGAGTTGGAGAACGCGCGGGACACGTCGCGACGATGGGTGGTCGTCGATATGGATGGATTCTACGCGGCGTGCGAAGAGTTGGCGAATCCGGAGTTGAAGAAGGTTCCGGTCGCGGTCGCCGCGGGGCCTTCGTGCGTGCTCACGACGGCGAACTATGTGGCGAGGAAGTTCGGCGTGAGGGCAGCCATGCCAGGATTCATTGCGAAAAAGTTGTGCCCGGAGCTCGTCTTCGTCAAGCCAGATTTCACAAAGTACGTCAAGGCTTCGAAAGAATCGAGGAGCGTCTTCGCGCAATATAATCCGGATTACATCGCCGGATCACTCGACGAGGCGTACATTGAGGTGACCGAGTACTGCAAGGAGCACGATACGACCATGGAGGCGATTGCGGCGGAGATTCGTGAAAAAGTGAAGGCGGCGACCGGCGGCTTGACGTGCTCCGTAGGCGGTGCGTGCTCAAGACGTCTGGCAAAGGTTTGCTCGGACTTCAATAAACCGGATGGACAGTACATCTTAGAACCATCACGCGAGGCGGCGTTGACGTTCTTGCGAGACCTTCCCGTTCGTAAGATGTATGGCATTGGCAAGACGCTGGAGAGAGTGTTGAATGAGTTTGACATTGAGACGTGCGGTGATTTACTCGACAAGCGCGCATTGATGTTAGCGCTATTCACGCCAAAATCGTTTGAGCACTTAATTGGCATTGCGCTAGGCGTTGGTACCGAAAGGCATCCGCGGGAGGAACCCGACGGCATCGCGCCTCGTAAGGGCGTCTCGAAGAGCGAAACTTTCGCAGCCACGAGCGACAAGACCTTCCTCGACGCAAAGATGACAGAAATGGCTACGATGGTGGCGCTCGAATGCCAAAGACTTAATTTGAAAGGACGCATGGTTGCCGTAAAACTAAAACGAAGCACATTCGACGTGATTCAGCGTCAAACGACGCTTGCGGGACCGACGAATGATGTCAAGACGATTGTGAATAGCGCTCTGCGACTGATGCGAAACGAAAATTCCATCGGTGTGGATATGACGCTCCGTCTTGTCGGTGCACGCGTGTCGCAATTCGACCACGAAGAAGCCGTGCCCGAAGATCAAAAGCGCATCGACACGTACCTAGCCACGTCGACGGCTGCCGCGCTGGCTGCAAACGAGGAGACATGGACGTGCGACGAGTGTACGCGAGTGTTCCCATTGAGAGAAAAGACTGAGCATCTCGACTGGCACGTTGCGAGGCGTTTGCAGTCGCGCGACGATGCGGAGCAATGTCGCGCTCGACTCGCGTCGTCACACAAAGGGCCGACGTCAAAGAAGGCTCGCGGTAAACAACAAAATTTGAAGGCATTTTTCACCATGTAACAAGAAACTACGGATTGTACGGTGAGAACGGCGCGTCATGCGCGGGCACGACGACGAGCGTCGCGTTCTTCCCACAGGCGAACCAAGCGGTCGCGTCGGGATCGACGCGCGGCACTTTCTTCGGCAGTTGGCTCCGGCGCCAGCGGCGCGGATGGCGCCGGGTTGACGTCCAATGGCGGACGGGGCAAGGGTGATGAGTGCAGCGCGGCTGCTGCGCGACGAAGCCAGTGCTGGTACGCGGTGACGTCGATGAAGCGACCACTCGACGTGAGCGCGTCGGCGTTGTCAAGTACGGCGATGAGCAAGCACAGTTGGTCCGGTTCAAGATTTTTAGCCAAGAGGCGAGGAAGATCGAGCCACGCCTTGTGTCTGCTGCCGCCCAACATGAGCGCCGTCTGCGCCGATGCAGGCGTTCTGGACATCAACTCATCGAGGTAGCCGCATAAAATAGCCGCATCATGAACACCCGAACCCGTTGTAAGCCGGGTCGCCGCGAGAGTGCCCGCGTGTGCCGCGTGAACGAATTCAGAGAGCGTGACGTCCTCTGTGTAACCGCACGCGCATAGCATCGCTTCGAGGCGATCGAGCGCGCGCGGCGTCGCCCTTTGCGGCTCGAGCTTCTCCATTATGTGTCTCAGATGTTCCAGCGTAATTCTGCCAATCACACCAGACCCTTGCAAGCGAAACAGCGGTTGTAGCAAATCAAGTCGCTCGCGAGCGACGGTCCAAACAACGCAACAAAGATCATCCACGAGTGCGCGCTCATGTACGAAATCGAAATACTCCATGGGTGGAGCCGACGGCGCGAGTACATCATCTAGGTTGCCTTCCTCACCGTCTTCCTCATCGTTATCTTCGTATGAACACTGAAGCATTTCTTCATCTCTCCCCGTCTCCTCCTCGTGCTCCTCGAAGCGTTCGTACGGCGCGGTGTTGCGCGAGAGCGTCTCCCGAAGCCAATCCCGCTCCATCGGATCATCGATCGTGCCATAACCTGTCAGACTATTGCCGTTATGGTTCGAAGTCTTCGACAGCAACGGAGTCTGTGCCGCCTTGTCGACGCGCTGAAGTTCGCGAGCTCGCGCGTGCTCCACGAGCTCAATCGTCTCTACATCGATTGGCGGCGGCACTTTGAGCTCTTTCACCCTCTGAACGTTTCCAGCCTTTGTCGACGGACGAATGGGCGACGCCGTGCCGTACGTCGACTCCTTGACGACCGGTAGCAGCGGCACGCGCGCGTCGCTCCACGCCTTTGGCGAAACCGCCTCCTCGCTCGCGCCGTACTCCATCCCCGCGCTCGAGCTCGCCAAAAGCGGCGCCCCCGCCGCGCTCCCCATCGCGTCTTCGCTCACATCCAGCACCAGCCCCGCGTTCTCACTCTCCATCGTCTCATCCACCGCGACGTCGCGGCCGAGCGCTTCGTCTCCATTCGATGTCTCTCCCTCCATCGCCCCGTACACCCCCCAACGCCCACCCCTCTCCCCCAACAGCGCCTCACGCGCGCCGTCGTCAATCCTCGGCGACGTCGCCTCCGATCCGTACGTCGTGTCATCGTCATCCGCGAACCGGACGTGTTTTCCCAGCAACGGCGCCCGCGCGTCCGCATCCGCCGCGCCGCGCGCCTCCGCGGTCACCACCGCCTCCATCGCGCTCGACGTCTCTCCATCGACGGTCGATTCGATCTCTCGCACCATCGCCTCGCGCTCGTCCTCGCTCCCGAGCTCGAGTCCGCTCGACGCGTCGTCGTCGTCGTCGTCGAACGCATCGCGTGACCGTTCATGCAAATCGTTCGCCCGTCCGCGCCCTCGCGCGCGCTCGGGCGTCACCGAACCGATCCCGGGCACGAACAGTTTCGCCTCCGCCCGGAGCGCGGGCATCGCGCGAAGCGTCGTCGCGCGCGCGTTCGAGCGCGGGGTTCTGCGGTGCGTCGCCCATCGCGCATCGACCATCGCGCCCCGCACACGCCACCGCGTCGCGCGCGCGACATGGAGCGCTACGAGCGCGGGCGAACGCTCGGTGAGGGCACGTACGGGGTCGTCCACGAGGCGCGGGTGAAGGAGGTGCGGTGACGACGCGTGAGGGACGACGCGCGAGGGATGATTGGGTGCGCGATGGCGCGCACGTGAAAAACGCGCGCTCGGAGGACGCGCGCGCGATCGAACGCGCGGCGCGCGGGGCGATCGACCGCTGACGACCGTGGTGTGACGCCGTCGCAGACGAACGAGGTGGTGGCGATCAAGAAGATTCGCCTGGGGAAGCTGAAGGAGGGCGTGAACTTTACGGCTATTCGAGAGATCAAATTGCTTCAGGAGATCAAACACGAGCACGTGATCGAGCTCGTGGACGTGTTCGCGCATAAGAAGAACTTAAACTTAGTGTTTGAGTATTGTGGTGGGGATTTGGAGATGGTGATCAAGGATAAGGCGACGCCGTTGAGCGCGGGAGAGGTGAAGTCGTACGCGCGGATGACGCTTCGCGCGGTGGCGCACTGTCACGAGAATTGGGTCTTACACAGAGATCTCAAGCCGAATAACCTGTTGATCGCGCCGAATGGGTGCTTGAAATTGGCAGATTTCGGTTTGGCGCGAATCTTTGGCTCACCCGATCGTAGGTTCACCCATCAGGTGTTCGCGAGGTGGTACCGAGCGCCCGAGCTCTTGCTCGGATCGAAGACGTACGGTCCAGGTGTGGACGTGTGGGCGGTCGGGTGCATTCTCGCGGAATTAATGCTTCGAAAACCATTCTTTGCCGGGTCGTCGGACATCGATCAGCTCGGTAAGGTGTACGCAGCGCTCGGGACGCCGACCGAGACGAACTGGCCCGGCGTGTCCGCGCTGCCGGATTTCATCGAGTTCATCTACGTACCGCCGCCGAACCTGCACGACACGTTCCCGAACGAGACAAATGAGTCGCTGGATTTGTTGAAAAGGATGCTCGAGTACGACCCGAACAAGCGCATCACCGCGGCGCAGGCGTTGGAGCATCCATACTTTCACACCAAGCCGGCGCCGATTCCGTTCGAGGAGCTTCCGAAGCGTTTCGCGACGAAAAACTTTACGCAACACGCGTCGGGGGGGACATCACCCTCGCGAGAGGCGAAAACTGGGGAGAAACGTAGATTAGAGGACGCGGACGAGGCGCCGGATTCGACGGATCCGAACTTCAGGCCGAAGCTCGGCGACGCGGACAGGGAGGCGTTGCGCGGTCGCAAGGGCGCGTTGGACGCCGCCTTTGCCGACGTCGAGGGCGACGATTGAGACAGAGTTTCACACGCTTAGCGAATAGACAATGGACGAGTAATACTAATAGCTACATCTCTAGAGAAGGGAATCAGTCCATCTTGTTTGCGTTGGACGTCGACGTCGCGGCGACTCGTTCCGGACGCGGCGCATTCGTCGTCCGCTCCATCTTCGCCCCCGCCCTCGCCATGTCCCGCCGTAACGCCTCCAACTCCTCAGGATCGATCATCTCCAACAATTTCGGCATGAGCACCGCGAGCACCATCGCACACATCACCAAGAACAACGGATGCTTCACCACATCCGCCGGCCGCAGCGTCGTCGCCGGCTCAAAGTACTCCGCGACGCTCGCCGGGACCATTTTCAACGGCATCGTCTCCACCACCACCTCCACGTCTTCCGCGTACGTCGCCACCACGCTTCCCGGTTCACCCTCGTCGTCGTTCTCTCCTCGAACCGTCACCGCCAGCGGCGGGTAATTCAACCCGAGCGCGTCCACGTCCAATCGGTGTCGTCCCGCCGGGACGTCCCGCAGCGCGAACGTCCCGTCCGCGCGCACGCGCGCGAATCGCTTCCCGTGCGACTCCGTGGACACCGTCACCGTGATCTCGTTCGGATTCAGCCCGATCGCGGTGAGCGGTGTGAAATCAAACCGCCCCTCGATCGCGTGCGATTCGCGTCGCCCCACGCTTTGCGCGCGCGCCGACGCCGCGCGCGCGAGGACGACCATCACCGCGATCGATCGCGCGCGCGAGCGGGGCCGTCGGCGCGCCATGGATGCCTCGACGCGTCGCGAGGTGCCGTCCGTCGAAGCGCTCGGTGCGACACACCACGTCGTCGTCGACGCGATATGATCACCGACGAGACGTACGGACGATGGAAATCGTTGGTGCCGTTCGTCTACGACTGGTTCGCGCACACGCGCACGTCCTGGCCGTCGCTGAGCGCGCGATGGGGGGAGGTGGTGGACGCGAACGCGTACAGGTCGCGCCAACGCGTGTACGTCACCGAGCAAACCGAGGGCGAGGACGGGCGGACGGGGAAACCGATGCCGAACACGATATTGGTGTGTCAGGCGGAGGTGCTGCGACCGCGCGTGGCGGCGGCGGAACACATGATCTTCGACGAACACAGCAAGTCGCCGGCGCTGCGAAAGGAAAAGGCGCTGTGGCACCCGGGTGAGGTGAACCGGATGCGGTGCGTGCCGGGACGGGAGAACGTGCTCATGACGCACACGGATGCGCCGGAGGTGTTCGTGTTCGATGCGAGTGGGCCGGGGGGGAAGCAGAACTCGTTGAAGCGGGCGGACGGGACGCAGTACACGCCGCCCGCGATGTGTCTGCGCGGACATAAAGAGAACGCGGAATACGCGCTGGCGATCTCGCAGAAGGGCGAGGTGGTGGCGAGCGGTGGGAAGGATGGAATGGTGATGATTTGGGAGCTCGCAGACGCGAACAAAGGGGGTGGGAAGAAGGAGGATGGAGGGGTCGGCGCGCCCGTCGTGGGCGGCGGCTTGAGCTCGACGGAGCTCGCCAGGCACACGTGCGTGTGGGCCCGTTGCGAGCTCGCCGGTCACACGGACACGATCGAGGACGTGTGCTTTAACCCGCAGAATGAGAAGGAGCTCTGCTCGGTCGGGGACGATCGAGCGATGTTTTTTTGGGACACGAGAACGAAGAAGGCGACGGGGTTCGCAAATGGCGCGCACAGCGACGACGTGCACTGCGTCGGATGGAGCGCGCACGACGAGCACGTCGTCGTCACCGGTGGTAAGGACACGGTGGTTAAGGTTTGGGATCGACGTATGCTCACGAATGGGTCGAACGAGGCGATGCACACGTTCGACACGCATACCGATAGCGTCCTTTGCGTGGATATGCACCCACACGCCAAGGGGGTCTTCATGACCGCGGACGAGGTCGGGCGCGTGAACGTGTTCGATTACACGAAAGTGGGCGCGGAACAAACCCCTGAGCTTGCCAAGGCGGGCGCACCTTACCTCGTTCTTCAGCACAGTGGACATCGCGGAACTGTTTGGGACATTCAGTGGAACCCCTACGATCCGTGGACGGTGTGCTCGACCTCGGTGGGAGATTTTCAAAACACCTTGCAGCTCTGGCGCGTGAATGATATGATCTATCGCGACACCGAAGAGTGCATCAGGGAGCTCGAACAACATCGGGACATCATTTGTGGACGTCAGGCGCCACTGAAGTCGAAGGACGCCGCGCAGGAGAACAAGGAGGATAGCGAAGGCGCGGCAGAGAAAGACGACGCAAGCGGCGCAGACGCAGACGACGCGATGGAGGAATGATAGCATGCAGACGTTCGATGGAACTTTAAGTTCGAGTAGAGAAAATCGAATCGCAACTTTGATACAATGCTTAGACTACACCTAACGCTCGGCGCCGAATGCACCGAGTCCGACACGCTTTGCCCTCGTCATCGCGGTGAGCGGCTCCGCGATGCCCGCGCCCTCTCGTCCGACCCCAGAACCTTGACCTTGAAATCCCATTTTAGCAAGCATGCGACTTCCAAAACCGGTGGTGTGTTTTTCGAACGCACCGTACTCGTGACCGGCACCTACAACGACGCCCTTCTTCTTGGTTCGCGCGCGCTCCAACTTTTCTCGCTCGCGTTGTTCGTGCTCCGCGGCGCGGCGCGCACCGCGGTTCGGGTACACCACGGGCTCCTCATTCAAGAGTGCCTCGACCTTACTACCCTTACGAGGATCATCCTCTTCCTCGTAATTGACGACGACGTCCGAGTCTTTAGACACGCCCCCAAAGACGAACTGCATCGCCGGTTTCGGTCGACGTGACTTTTTCAACGGAAGCTGCCTCTTCGCAGTCTTCGTCGAGCGCGAGCTCCCAGGGACGTTGAAACGTGGCTTCTTTGTCGATTCAGGCCGCATGTGAATGATAGCGTGTCTTCGCTTACCTCCTCCGCGAATCTCCAAATCGCACCCGTGCGCCCTGGCGATGCTCAACGCTCTCTCCAACGACGGACCGTCTCTCGACGTCTTTACCGGAGGTAAACCGATGTACGACACCCCAGCCTCGATCGAGGCCGCGATAACACGCGTCCATTTATCCATGTCGTCTTCCTCGTCCTCCTCATCGTCCATCTCATCGTCGTCGCCCACGGAGAACATCGCCTTATGTTCGTCCTCTTCGTCGCTCGTCTCGGGATCGGGGGGCATACCGTCAACGTTCATACGCGCGATCGCCCGTAACTCTCTCTCAAATGATTCATCGTTATTATCTTCGTCCTCATCGTCCTCATCGTCGCCGTCGTCCTCGTCCTCGTCGCTCGTCCCGACCTCGCCTCTCGAGCGTCTCACGTTGCTCGCGTAATCCATCGCCACGTCCTCATCCACGCTCTCGCTCGAAAATCCCTCGCTCGATTCCCACCCATCATCACTCGTACCATCCTTTTCACCCCCCCCTTCGACCTCGCCCGCGTCCACCGAGGCGCCGCCCGCGTAATCGAACGCCACGCTCGAAAACGCGCCGTCGCCGCCCTCCCCCTCTCGGTCCACGATCACCTCCACCCCGCCCACGCGCATCGTCGCCGTGCGAGCGCGCGAACGCGACCCTCTTCCACGCTCGCGCGCCCCGCGTCCCGCCCCGACGCGCCCGAATGCGTTTCGTTCGCTCTCCGACGCCTCGCTCGAGCTCCATTCGATGATCTCTCTCGCCGTGTACGCCCGCCGCGTCGCGCCCCGTCGCCCGTCGCCCGTCCGCGCGCGTCGACCGCGATCGCGCGCGTCGACGGCGACGCCGCGGCACGGGCGCGGGCGCGACGTCGACGGCGTTCGACGCGGCATTCGATGACGCGACGCGAAGTGATGGACCGCCGGCGTCGACGGCGGGCGCGGGCGACGTCGGCGCGCGCGACGGCGGTCGTCGTCGCGCTGGTGACGCTGACGCGGGCGAGCGCGGTGCGAGGTGCGAGGGAGACGCGGGCGGGGGTGGATGGATGACGCGCGCGGCGGCGACGCGCGACGGCGCGACGCGCGTTCTCGGACGATGCGAAGGATGACGAACGCTGACGCGCATCGTCGCGCGACGTAGGTGGGATCATCGCGAAGGCGCTGGCGAAACCGGTGAAGGTGGCGTTCAGGGAGGCGCGCGAGGCGCGCGCGCGGGGGGAGGCGCCGACGCGTCGGTTGGCGCGATGGCTCGACGCGGCGTTCGGCGATCGATTACCGGGTGTAGACGGCGATGTGGGGACGCCGAGGGTGCGAACGATCGCGACGGCGGCGGAATCGATCGATTTCGAGGGCGTGGGGGAGAATTTCGAGGGTGTGGGGACGTTCGAGGCGAGCGATAGGGACGCGGAGACGGACTCGAGCGAAGACGCCGAGCGGTGGGATCGAGGCGGCGAGAACGAGCACGATGCCGTCGAGAGCGAGGAAATGGCTCTCGAGAGCGATGGTGCGGGTGAGGGCATGCGCTTACTCGCGCCAGAGACGTTTGAAGACGTTATTGTGAGCGGCGACCGCGCGCGTTGGGTCGTCGCGGCGTGCGCGCGCTCGTCGCCCACCTGTCGTGCACTCGCCCCCGAGCTCGCCATTCTCGCTGTGGATAGCGCGTTTACTTCCGATGAGAACGACGGCGCGAGTTTCGGCGTGGCTTGGGTGGATTGCTCTCCAGAGAGCGCTCGCGCGTGGTGCCGCAAACGTCTTGGCGTGAAAGCCGTGCCGCGCGTTTTGGCCATCGCGAACGGCGTCGAACGTGCGTACGAGGGCGAGCTCAGAGGCGCAAATATCATTCGAAATATACGTGCGTTCGCGCTCGCGTTCGCGAAGGGCGAAGGGAGTTGCGACGCCGACGCGAGTGTAGCCGGCGGTTAACCGAGGGCGTCCCGCGCACGCGTTCGTCCGCAGTCGTCCGCGCGCTTCATGCGACGCGCGCTCGGCGCGCGACGGACGACGCGTCCGGGCGCGCGTCGTCTCGACGTGTCTCGACGCCGGGCGTCGACGCGTCGAGCGCTCGGCGACCCGGCGTCCCTTCGGGAGCTCTACTCGGGCATCGGCGCGACACGACTCGCTCTGGAGCATCTCGTGGACCTTCAAGACGTCGTTGCGATCGATAACTCCGACGCGGCGAACGCGGTATACGAGGCGAACTTTGGAGATGTGCCTCGGCGGGCGAACATCGAGCACTTGGACGCGAACGCGCTGTTTCCGTCGAGCGAGCGGGACTACGCGCTCACCGCTTCGCCGCCGTGTCAACCGTACACCAGACGAGGGCTGGGATTAGCGAGCGAGGACCCTCGAGCGAAGAGTTTTCACGCCGTCATCGATGCGATTCCGAACCTGTCGAATCCGCCGAGGTGGGTATTCGTAGAAAACGTGCGCGGCTTCGAGAGCTCTGATACGAGACGGGCGCTTCTGGACGCGCTCTCCGAGCGCGATTACGACATTCGCGAGTTTATCGTCGACCCAACGGCGCTTGGGGTGCCCAATACGAGAGAGCGGTACTACTTGATCGCAACGAGGTCACCGGGCGGATTCTCCGAACCCACTCCGACGTGGCTCCGCGGGCGGGCCATCGACGCGGCAGGTCAATTCGTCGGCGAGGCATCCACTTCTCAATCGACGACGTCGACGCTGGCGGACTATATTCGAACAGAGTGCGACAACGAGGACGAGCTCGTTTTGGGCTCAGAGATGATACGAAAGTATTGGCGAGTGTTGGATGTCGTGACGCCGACGAGCAAGCGGTGCTCGACGTTCACGTCGGGATACGCCGACACCGTGTTCGGCGGATCCGTTCTTCTGCGATCGCGTGGTGTTCAACGTGGGCTTGATGAGCTCCTAGAGCTCGACGCCGACTCTGGTGTGAGCAGAATCAATGAGCGCGATGTTGAACATTTCATTGACAATCTTAGATGGTTCCACGTCGACGAGATCAAGGCTCTTCACGGCGTTCGAGACGATTTCACCTTCAACGCATGTTCGAGGAAGAAGGCGATATTTCTTTTAGGCAACTCCATCTCCGTGCACGTGGTGCGCGAAGTTCTTCTTCATTTGTTCTCAGCCGGCTAGCGGCTTATTGATGAACGCAGTGAGTACATTGCGAGTGCGAGTGCGCAGTGTTGTAATGTTAAAACGCGGTTGATAGAACGGCCGCTCACTTGCGAGCGATTTGTCCGTAAAGAATGATCGGACCGGCGTTCCCATCGTCCTCGTCCGTCTCGTAATCATCCTTACCGGCTCGAATGACGACGGAGCGCCCGGCGATGTTTTCCTTCTCGCCCGCCTTGAGCGACGTGTACAGATCCTTGATCGTCGTGGTGCTCACGCCGTTTTCGTCCGCCACGATGTTCCCAAGATCTCCGATGTGCCTGTTCAAAATGCATCCGTCGTATCGTCCGTGGCACGCGCTCGCGCCGAACTTTTTCAACGACGTCGGTCCGCGGTGCGGCCTCTTTTCCGGATTATACGACCCCCCCGTGCACTTCCCAGCGTCATCGCACCCCTCCACGTCACCATTCTCGTGCACGTTAATACCGTGTTTCCCTGGCGTCAGTCCCCGCACGTCCGCCGTGATCACCACCACCTCTTCGTTACTCCTATTCGTCTCCGAGACGAACGTCACCGTCCCGCTCGCGCCGCGTCCAGCCTCCGTCGCTCGCAGCGTCGCGACGTACGTCTCCGTCACCGCCCTCGCGCTCGCGCCGTCGACGAACACCATCAACGCGCACGCCATCGCGCACCCACGCGCGGCCGAGACCCACGCGCGCGCGTCCGTCGCGTCCTTCGTCGCGGTCGCGATCAATGCCTTCGCATCGCGCATCGATCCATCCTCCGCGCGCGTCCACGCGCGGTACGCGCGCCGCGTCACCCGCGCGCGCGTCCGCGGCGTCCACG